AACACAAAGAACTTCAAAGAGTGCCCCAATGTTTCTACCGGAGAGTCAAGACGAAAACATGTGCCAACCCCTATGCATAAGTTCATTGAACCCGCAAGTTGATCACCAAAACATACATCAAGTAGATCACGTGAATATCCCAGTGTCACCACAGATAAGCACGGCAAGACATACATCAAGTGTTTTCAAATCCTTAAAGACTCAATCCGACAAGACAACTTCAAGGGTAAAACTCAATTCATCACAAGAGAGTAGAGGGGGAGAAACATCATAAGATCCAACTATAATAGCAAAGCTCGCGATACATCAAGATCGTACCACTTCAAGAACATGAGAGAGAGAGGGAGAGAGATCAAACACATAGCTACTGGTACATACCCTCAGCCCCGAGGGTGAACTACTCCCTCCTTGTCATGGAGAGCGCCGGGATGATGAAGATGGCCACCGGTGAGGGATCCCCCCTCCGGTAGGGTGCCGGAACAGGGTCCCAATTGGTTTTGATGGCTATAGAGGCTTGCGGCGGCGGAACTCCCGATCTATTGTGCTCTCTGGAGGTTTCAGTATTTATAGGAATTTTTGGCGTAGGTCTCATGTCAGGTGGGGGTCTCTGAGTCGTCCACGAGGCACGGGGGCGCGCCCAGGGGGTAGGGCTCGCCCTCCACCCTCATGGACGGCTCGGAACTCTTCTGGCCCAACTCTTTTACTCTGGGGGCTTCTTTTGGTCCATAAAAAATCGTCAAAAATTGGCACGTCAATTGGACTCCGTTTGGTATTCCTTTTCTATAGAACTCAAAAACAAGGAAAAAAACAGAAACTGGCGCTGAGCTCTAGGTTAATAGGTTAGTCCCAAAAATAATATAAAAGTGTATAATAAAGCCCATAAACATCCAAAACGGGTAATATAATAGCATGAAACAATCAAAAATTATAGATACATTGGAGACGTATTAACCGCCCGACCCGAGGATCAGAGTTTCCCCTGGAGCAACACGACGAGCAATGAGAGCCGCGACGACGCCTTCAAGAAGGGAGCGAGCTTGGCCGCCGCCAGTCCCTCCGAAGATAGATCAGGTTTTCACCCCGGCCAACACTCACCACCACCGGACGCCACATCCCATTGACCACACCTCCCACACGACCATGGCCACCGGGCAGTACCTAACCACGGGCTCTTCCCAAGAGCACTGCAGAGCCACCACCAGGGCTGCTACCCTAGCATCCAAGACCTGGACACCACCTCACTCGAGACCCACCACTAACCCAACCAAATATACGAGCAGAAAGGAACCTCCTTTCGCACCCCTGGGCTGCCCCAACACCGAAACCCAAAGGCTGGCCAAAATTGGCCTCCATCGACCCGTCCTGCTGTCGGGTGCAAGACGAGCACGATCCTGCTGACGGGCCCGAGACGAGGTCGGTCCTGCTGCCGGGCGCGAGACAAGGTCGGTCCTGCTGCCGGGCACGAGACGAGCTTGGTCCTGCTGCCGAGCGCGAGACAAGCGATGGACCATAGTCGGAGGAGGGCCGAACCTTCGACGAAGGTAGCAACCAGACGACGAGGAGAGGGCCGAAGGTCGAAACGGGCCGCCTACAAACGAGCCGACGCCTGAAAGCCAGCCGCCACCCCAGTCGACCCACCGAGCTGCCGTGGAGCCGGCACGGCGAAGCCACCCCTCCGCCGCCGCCCACAGCCAGGACCGCAACCACGCCGGCCGGGGCCCCAAACCCACGCCGCCGGCCGAAAAAAAGGCGAAATCCGTCCGGCACGCATCACCACCACCGCACCATGCCGCCGATGACGAGTGCATCGGCCCCCGTGCGTCGTCTGTAGGCCCTTGCCGCCACAGCCCGTGCCGCCTGCTGGTCACCGGCCGGAGCATCCACCCGATCCAGATCTAGCGAGGAGCTCGCCGCTGCCACTCGTGTAGGCACGCCCCGTCGCGCCCCTAACGCACAGTCGCTCACGCCGCCAACCTTGACTGCCACCGTCGTGCCGCCTCGGCCGCTGCCACGTCGCGCCGCCCTGCAGAACCGCGCGCCTCCGCGCCGTGACGCCGTCCCGCGCCGGTTCACCACGAGGAAAGCGAAGGTGCCCTGCCGCCACCGACACCGGCCGGGCTTTGCCCGGCGGTGCAAACCGGCGGCGTCGAGGGATGGGGGGGAGGGAACTGGAGGAGATGAGCTAGGGGTCACCTTGCCGCTCGCGGGAGCGGACGAGACAAGCCGCTTAGTTGGCTTCCTTTAACTTTCAGAGAACTCATGTTCATATCATTAACGAGCTTAACAAGCTAAACGAGCCAGCCCGCAAGTTATACGAGTCGAGCCAGTCTTGAATTCGAGCTCGTTATAGTAATGAGTCGAGTCAAGTTAGCTCGTTAATGAAACGAGCTTTAGCGAGTCGAGCCGAGCTAGCTCGACTCGGCTCAAATTCCCCTCGCAACATCAATAATAGTGGCTTCGACCATCACTAATTCCCCCAAAAGAATGGGGCATCATGGGCCCACTCAGCATAGTTCATCACCTTTTCGAAGCTCGGTGGCCTGACCTTGAGCTTCACCATGGAGTGACCAATCTTAGATGTTGCATTCATGCCATCAATTTTTTTCCGTACAATTGCATATGTTGGTTTTTATGTTGCGATTGATTGTATATGCCCTAACATTTTAGACACACCCATACAGCAACAACTGTCGTCCAAGATGATTTTATGTTGCGATTGATTGTGTATGCCCTAACATGTGCTTATGTAGTATGGTCGCCCAAGCTACTATGACCATTTACCGAGAAAGGCTTTCGCCCCGCTTTATATATAATGCAACAAACCACAAACATTTAGTACAAACACACGCCACGCCATCGCAACACACGCACACACCCAGGACAAGATACAAAGGCGCTGAGCGCAGCAACACCACCACTAGCACTAAGGCCCCGAAGCGGTGAGACTACATATGACGAACCATGCGCTTCAAGATGGCACCTTCAGGAAGGATACAACACCAGAGTGCCGCCACCGCCCGATCCAAGGATCAGTGTTTCCCCCGGAGCCGCATGACGGGCAATGAGAGCCGCGACGACGCCTTCAAGAAGGGAACGATCTTCGCCACCGCCGGTCCGTCCGAAGATAGAGCAGGTTTTCACCTCGGCCAACCATCACCGCCACCGAACGCCACACCCCGGCAACCACGCCGCCCACACGACCATGGTGACCGGGCATCACCAAGGCACGGGCTCTGCCCAAGAGCACCGCGCGACCACCACCAGGGCCGTCGCCCCAGCATCCAAGACCTCGACACCACCTCACCTGAGACCCGCCGCACCCCAACGAGAGAGACAAGCGGAAAGGTCTCACCTTTCACGCCCCTGGGCCATCCCCAGCGTCGAGACCCAATAGGTCAGCCAGAACTGGCATCCATTGACCCGTCCTGCTGCCCCTAGCGCGAGACTAGCTCGGTCCTGCAGCATCGAGAGGGGGACGAGGTCGGTCCTGCTGCATCGTGCGCGAGACGAGCTCGGTCCTGCGGCATCATGCGCGAGACGAGCGATGGACCGCAACCGGAAGAGGACCAGCCCATTGACGGGAGAAGCGCCCGGGCGACGAGGAGATGGGGTGAAGGTCGAGACGGCCCGACCACAGACGAGCCGACGCCGGAGAAGCCGGCCGCTGCCGCGGACAGATCCGACGAGCCATTGTGAAGCTGCCACGACACCGAGAGGTCACCACCGAGACCTCCCCACGCCGCCGCCCACGACCGGAGCAGCGGCCACGCCCGACCACTGCCCTACCCGCGCCGCCCGACGACCTCCAAGCACCGGAGCCGCCGGACACGCACCACCGGAGCCACGCGCCGCCGGTCGGCCCCCAACGCCAGATCTGGCCGGATCCGGCAAGAGACCGGCCGCGCGCCACCTCCCGAGACGGGAGCAACGCAGCCGCCCCGCCGCATGCGGAACGAAGGGAGCCGGAGCGCCACCACCAGCAGGCCACCCCGCCGCCCAGCGAGACCGTCGCCGCGCCGCTGGATCCCGCGACAACCAGCGCCACCGATCGAAGGGGCCGCCCCGCGTCGGCGCCTACAAGCGGATGGGGAAGAGAGGCCCCGCCGCCGCCATGCCCACCGGGCTTTGCCCGACGGAGCTCGCCGCCGACGACGGGGGGAGAGGAAAGGGAGGCGGGGCGAGGGCCGCGACAGGAGGGGATCCTCCCCGGCGCGCGCGGGCGCGCCGCGGGAGGAAAGGGGAGGAGGGGGGAGGGGGGAGCGAGGCGGAAGGGGCGCCCGGCGGCCGGCGGCGGCTGGGGGCGAGGCCACCGGCGACGGCGGCGGGTGGGAACCCTAGCGGGAGTAGCGAGCGAGCCGCGGGAGGAAAGCTAACTATGACCATTTGCGTGTGTACCCTTAATTTAGCCGGGTGTTTGGTGTTTTTAGTAGCTTCATTTAGTCAAATGTTGACGACAAGCTTTTTTAGGTTAATAGCCGTAACATTTACGATTAGCTTTATGGCCGGCTCACGTAGATCGGTGTCTGGATAGATGCGGTGTCAGTTTCAAGGGACAGGGATGCCCTTACAACATTCTTACACATTTTTCTATAGAGCATGTGGAAAATATTGTAATGATGCTTATATATAACGTTAGAGTCCAAACATCAAATCTAAAATGAATAATTAGTTCAGAGTTTCCTCAAAAAATAATTAGTCGAGGGATCAAAACGGTGTAGGCAAGCACGAGGTGGTGGGCGGCCGACATCCCCAAAGTGAAATGAATGATGTGGACACGACAGGTGGTTGGCTGGTATTATTATTATTACTTTTTTGCTGGTTGTGGACTTTGTGGTGGGCAGTGGTCCGCCGACCAAGCCAGCTCTCATCCTTCTGGTAGCTTCGGCGCCCATACTACATAAGCACCCCTGCCCCAGACGCTGAAACCACCATCAGCTTCGATACTTCCTCTTGAGCAGCCATCCACTCTCCATCCATCTTTCCTCCGCGAGATCAGCGGCATGTCGACGACCGACACCAGCTCACCCAAGGTACGCAGGCCCTATGCATACATATGACGGTGTTTAATTGCCGTTGATTGGCCAAACATCCCCGCTTTGTTTTGAGACCAACTTATGTAAGATCTGATGAACATTAAAGGACGCACCCGCGCCGGAGAACAGCGCCCCGGCGGCGGCGGCAGGCAGCGAGCCGACGGTGACAAAGACGGTGCAGACGGTGGAGGTGAGGCAGTCGGCGGGGCAGGAGGAGGGGCAGGGGACGATCAAGCCGATCGAGGTGGTGCACGAGATCCCGGCCAAGGAGCCTGCTACTAAGCAAGAGTAGCAGAGCACACCGAATCGAGAAAGCAGTGTGATTGGTAAAATGGTGGTGTGCGCTAAATGTTCCCCGGTTGAGTAAATCGCCTGGTGGAACCCCTGTTTTTACTTTGGAGAACCAATGAAGTGATTGGAATATCTTTGATTTCGGTAAATAAGAATGAGCATTTTTAGTGAACTTACGAGCATGTAGTACTACCGGAATTGTGCTGTCGTCTATTGATCTTCGCGACGAAAAGGAAAAAGGCTGTACTACTACTGAGAGTGGGTAGTTGTGTATACCCGCGGATATGGCTTTCTTAGAATAGAAGGGTGTTTACTTTTTGCCCACAAAAAATAAAAATGAAAATAAAAGGGTGTTTTCAAACGCCCATTTTTAAATGTTTTGTATGCTTGATAAATTTAAGCATGAATATTCGGGTAAGTCTAAAAAAAATCAACACTACGAAGTGCTTTCAAACAGGAAAATGATTCCGCCAACCGCCGGTCGCGTCTACGACTACTCGTAGCATCTCCACCCGTTCGCCCCCCCGGACGCCAAAAAGAACGGCCTGGGGTGAGCCGGCGCTAGTTCGGCCCCTGGAGGTCGGTTCGCTCCCAGTCACATGCCCACGGTCGTCGCGGATTCGGCGAAGTTCGTTTTATTTTCTTTGCAAACTCGACGACTTTTGCATGAACTCGGTCATTTTTCATCGGAATTTGTAAAAAACTTAAAACATGCATGAACTAATTTAAAAACGAACTAAAAAGCCTAGCCACTGCCGCCGCCGCCTACATGCCGAGAAGCCTGTAGAAATGGGTGTAGTCGTCGTCGTCGTCGTCGCGCGCCTCGCCCGCGGCATCCCTGCTGCACCCCTTGCCCGGGTCGCCGACAGCGCTTGACGGCCCGGCCTCGACCTCGTCGTCGCTGTCGATGACGATGACGCCGCCCTCCTCGGCGCGGCGACGGGCCTCGGCGCGGCTACGGGCCTGGGTCTCCAGGTACGCCCGACGTTGGCGGCGCACCTGCTCGCGGACGTAGTCCTCCCTCGCCTATTTGAGGGTGGACTCGTCGTCGGGGGCAACCATGCCGGCGTGCTTAGGCTTCACGGGCGGCATGTCCGGCTCGGGCTTCAGCCGGACTAGGCGAAGGGAGTGCCTCGGTGCCGTCGCAGGCGAGGGCTCGTTGATGACGAGGGCGCCGCTCCGCGCGTGACGCCCGAGCGGTGTCTCCTCCGGCTCGGGCTTGACGGGGCGGAGGGCCAGCGAGCCGGAGCCCGACGAGGAGGACGATTCCGGCTCCATTCGCAATGGTATTCAGGAACTACCGCGGCAGCGAGAGAAGGAGGGGCGCGTCGGGTACTCCAGCCGCGGCACATTGCCGGTCTCGATGTGGTCGAGGACGGCGTCGAGTGTGCGGCCGGGGATGATACGTCTCCGTCGTATCTATAATTTTTGATTGTTTCATGCCAATATTATTCAACTTTCATATACTTTTGGCAACTTTTCATATTATTTTTGGGACTAATATATGGATCCAGTGCCCAGTGTCAGTTCCTGTTTGTTGCATGTTTTATGTTTTGTAGAAACCCCATATCAAACGGAGTCCAAACGGGATAAAAACGGACGGAGAATATTTTTGGAATATTTATGATTTTTGGGAAGAAAAATCAACGCGAGACGGTGCCCGAGGGGGCCACGAGGCAGGGGGCGTGCCCTTGACCCTCGTGGGCACCCCGTAAGGCGGTTGACGCTCTTCTTTTGCCGCAAGAAAGCTAATTTTCGGAGAAAAATCTGGGCGAAGGTTTCAATCCAATCGGAGTTACGGATCTCCGGATATAAAAAACGATGAAAGGGCAGAACAGGAGAATGCAGAAACAGAGAGAGATAAAGAGTCAGATCCAATCTCGGAGGGGCTCTCGCCCCTCCCACGCCATGGGAGCCAAGGACCAGAGGGGAAACCCTTCTCCCATTTAGGGAGAAGGTCAAGGAAGAAGAAGAACAAGGGGGGCTCTCCCCCCTTGCTTCCGGTGGCACCGGAACGCCGCTGGGGGCATCATCATCACCACGATCTACACCAACACCTCCATCATCTTCACCAACGTCTCCATCACCTTCCCCCTTCTATATTCAGCGGTCCACTCACCCGTGACCCTCTATACCCTCTACTTAAACATGGTGCTTTATGCTTCATATTATTATCCAATGATGTGTTGCCATCCTATGATGTATGAGTAGATTTTTGTTGTCCTATCGGTGATTGGTGAATTGTTATGATTGGTTTAATTTTCTTGTGGTTATGTTGCTGTCCTATGGTGCTCTCCGTGTCGTGCAAGCGTGAGGGATTCCCTCTATAGGGTGTTGCAATACGTTCATGATTCGCTTATAGTGGGTTGCTTGAGTGACAGAAGCATAAACCCGAGTAAGGGGATTGTGGCGTATGGGATAAAAGGGACTTGATGCTTTAATGCTATGGTTGGGTTTTACCTTAATGATCTTTAGTAGTTGCGGATGCTTGCTAGAGTTCCAATCATAAGTGCGTATGATCCAAGAAGAGAAAGTATGTTAGCTTATGCCTCTCCCACATAAAACTTTCTATCGGTCTAGTAAAGTAGTCAATTGCTTAAGGATAATTTCACAACTCCTACCACCACTTTTCCACACTCGCTATATTTACTTTATTGCTTCTTTATCTAAACAGCCCCTAGTTTATATTTGCGTGCTCTTTATTATCTTGAAAACCTATCCAACAACACCTACAAAGTACTTCTAGTTTCATACTTGTTCTAGGTAAAGCAAACACTAAGCATGCATAGAGTCGTATCAGTGGCAGATGGGACTTGAGAGAATATTTTTTCTACCTTTAGCTCCTCGCTTGGTTCGACACTCTTACTTATCAAAAGAGGCTACAATTATCCCCTACACTTGTGGGTTATCAGGGGACACCCCACCACTCGGGTCGTCCTTCGGAGTTGAGGCGGCCGCGGGGGATGACACCGTTGACGGAGGCGATCTGCTCCTCGCGACGGCGCTCGAAGTACAACGTCCACGGCATTTCGCTGTCGGGCGCGTACCTCGGCTCGTTCCACTGCTCCTCCGTCAGCGAGGAGCGGATGCGGGCGATCTCCGCCCGCCGTGCGGCTCCTTGGGGACCGGCGGCACCGGGACGCCGCTGGTGCTCAGCCTCCACGCCCTCGGTATGCGCATGTCGGGGGGCGCCGGGTACTCGGCCTCGTACAGAAGGCGCACCTTCGGCTCCTGGAGGTGTCGGCGGCCGAAGCCATTTGCCGATGCGCTGTCGCCTGGGTATCTCTCGGCCATTTCGCTCGACGACGGTGGAAGTATCAATATAGTTGACTAGAGGGGGGGGGGGGTGAATAGGCAACTAACAATTTTTAGCTTTTCTTTACCAAATTAAACTTTGGATCAAAGTATGTTGTCTAGATATGCAACTAGGTGAGCAACCTATATGATGCAACAATAACAAGCACACAAGCAAGCAAGGGATACAACACAAATAAGCTTGCAAAAGTAAAGGCACGAGATAACCAAGAGTTGAGCCGGTGAAGACGAGGATGTGTTACCGAAGTTCCTTCCTTTTGAGGGGGAGTACGTCTCCGTTGGAGCGGTGTGGAGGCACAATGCTCCCCAAGAAGCCACTAGGGCCACCGTATTCTCCTCACGCCCTCACACAATGCGAGATGTCGTGATTCCACTATTGGTGCCCTTGAAGGCGGCAACCGAACCTTTACAAACAAGGTTGGGGCAATCTCCACAACTTAATTGGAGGCTCCCAACGACACCACGAAGTTTCACCACAATGGACTATGGCTCTGAGGTGACCTCAACCGTCTAGGGTGCTCAAACACCCAATAGTAACAAGATCCGCTAGGGATTAGTGGGGGGAAACAAATTTCTCTTGGTGGAAGTGTAGATCCGGGCCTTCTCAACCAATCCCTAGCAAATCAACAAGTTTGATTGGCTAGGGAGAGATATCGGGCGAAAATGGAGCTCGGAGCAACAATGGAGCTTTGGGGTGGAAGAGGTAGTCAACTAGAGGAAGAAGACACCCCTTATATAGTGGAGAGACAAATCCAACCGTTATGCACTTACTCAGCCCGCGACCTGCGGTACTACCGCTCTAGACAAGCGGTACTTTCGCAGGGTCTCACGGTACTACCACGGCGGACAGCGGTACTACCGCTGCTATGGCAGGAGCTAGTCCAGGCCTGAGCCGCAAAGGCTGAGGGCGGTACTGCCGCTAACGCGGTACTACCGCTCCCCCTTGCGGTACTACCGCAAGGCCGGATTGTACAATCCTGGGAAGGGCGCGGATGAATAAAAATACATCCGTTCCTACTTCCGCTGAAAATCAATCAGTGCAAAAATCTGACACGGTACTACTGCACCTGGCAATGCGGTACTACCGCGCAGGGAGCGGATGTAAAAAATTACATCCGCCCCTACTTCCGCTCGTGTTGCTGTGCTAGACCAAGACTCACGGTACTACCGCGCGCATGGGGCGGTACTACCGCGTAGGGCGCGGATGTAAAAAATTACATCCGCCCCTACAGCCGCACGAGCGATTGAGTCTGGTTTGAGGCCATGGTGCTACAGCTCCTTAGGAGCAGTACTACCGTGTGCACCTACAGTACTACCGCAAGGGCGTGCAGTACTACCGCGGGGGCCTGCGGTACTACCGCTCCTAAGAGCAGTACTACCGCATGCCTCAGAACAACAACACTTGGAATCCTTCTCTTTGCAAAATATGAAGAAAAAGGAGGATGCTCCAAAGCGCAAAGGGAAAGGCGGTGCAAAGGGAGAAAACATGTACATGATGATTCCACCCGAACCTTTCCAACACTGACCCCCTCTTAATAGTACGGCTTTCCTACGACTCAAATCCACCGAAAAGAAACGTAGAAAAATGCCGACTTCAATAGTCTTCGAGGGGCACCAAACCGTCTTGTGCCTAGTGACGAAGCGTCTGAAATACTCAAGGCACACGATTAGTCCGCAAAAGCATTG